AACAGGTTGCTAACAGCAATAGCCTGGTCAAATAGGCAGTCAACAGGAAAACCTGGTCCTAAGCCAAGCTGCAAGAGTAGGAAAACTCTCAAAACTGTCACAAGAGAATATCACAGGTATAAGTTCTGAGTTCTGAAGGCAATACTCCTCCTGATCTTCATCTTGAAGACTTGCAGTGTTCTGAAGAGATCACCTTATGTATCCATCTCCATCCTACACTCAACTGTATCTTCCATATCCCATGTTTTCTTGTGCATATGAAATATTAGTAGAGCTTCTGTTTGTTTCTAGGAGTATATGCACATTTTGGATCATTGATGGTAGTGTCCTCGCTCTTTGTGTGTGTATGGGTGTCCATCTTTCCCCTTCCTCCAGTTTTGTGTGCATGCATACATGTGTGTGCTTGTGTGTGTGCACTTTTGTGTATGTGTGAGTGTCTTTAGCACCCAGGACCTTGGTTTTTCTGGACTTTTGATATTAAGGGAGTCACTATTTCCTTGAGGAGCAACCTTCTCTGAATTTGAAGATACATTCCTTTCTTGCTGCTTTTGCTGCCTTGTGTTAACGTTGGTAGAATAACTGAATATGTATTAGGTAAAAAGATACAAGTGCAACAAATGTGACATTTTATTGTGGCAACGTTTCGCTCTCCAGGAACTTTATCAAGCTGTTATAGCACTTGTGTCCTTTTACCTAACATTTTACCTTGTATTATAGCTGTTGCACTTGTGTCCTTTTACCTAACATTTTGCTGCCTTCCTTATGAGACTTGTAGCTATCATGTCTTCTTGTATTTTCTTGACAGTGGTACATTTGACAGTGACAACTGAAGATACTAGTGGAATAGGATGATTACCATCTTCCTCCTGCCTTCATCTACATTGTCCTAGTAACTATTGGCTTGGTTCTGGTAACATTTCCAGTGTTCTCCAGTACTTGAAACTGAAGAATGTCTGATGGTGGTGAATGTCTTTACTTAACATTTAGTCATAGCATAAATTAGAGAGAACAACATACACAGACATTGGAGGAGCCACCAAGTGAAACCTAGATGGTTCTTTATATTGTAACAGTGGTAGTTCCCCATAAAGGATGATTGAGTTGGAAAATTTTAGAGCTGTGGATGAGTGGAACAAACTTCTGAGTAGTGTCATTGAAGCTAAAACCTTGAGTAGCTTTAAAAATAGGTTATACACTATGTGAGTGGGTGTAATTTGGACCTGACTGGCTTGGATCAGTGGGTCTGATGCAGTTCTCCTTACTTCTTAAGTAGTGTAACTTGGACCTGCCTAGCATGAGCCAGAAGGTGTGCTATAATGCTCCTTTCTTATGTTCTTATGAGTTTGTGACACATGTGTTGGTTATGACTGGTTGCTGGTGCTGACACACCTGCTCTTTCTGTCCAGACAGGTGTATGAAATAATGAACTGAGCAACATTCTTTAACCAAGGATGCAAGGCTTGGCCTAAGAATGTAGATAAATGGTTCAGAGAACTGACAAGTTTGTAAATTAGACACTATGTGCAACACTTTGGAATCAATAAAGATACCCAAGTGTTGCACATGTGTCTAATTTATCAATTTGCTTTTCTTGCATCCCCTTGCTTGTGTCTTTGTGGGAATTAATTTTTCAAAATCTGAAGTCACCAATAATACAGTATGTTAACTGCCTCAGTTCTTCACAGTTTGAGTTTCTGTCTCCTCACAATGGTAATTTTATGTTTCCAGTTAATATAGTAAACAGTTGTTACAAGAATTAATAACAAGTTGCTTATACAGATTTATTGTAAAGCCCTCAAGATATGCACAGCATTTTAGGAATTCTTAAAACTAGCTTTACACTACGATACAAAGCTTTGTTGTTTGAGATTAAAAAGCTATGTTATGAATCTTACTGCTACTCGGTCTGAGACCAGGCCTCATGGTGGTTCAGGGTCTGATCAACCAGGCTGTTACTGCTGGCCGAACGCAAACTGATGTACAAACCACAGCCCGGCTGGTCAGGTACTGACTTTAGGTGCCTGTCCAGTGCCTTCTTGGAAACAGCCAGGGGTCTGTTGGTAATCCCCCTTATGTATGCTGAGAGGCAGTTGAACAGTCTTGGGCCCCTGATTGTGTTGTCTCTTATCATACTAGTGGCACCCTTGCTTTTCATTGGGGGGATGTTGCATTGTCTGCTGAGTGGGTGGTAGCAAACCCTATATGTATGCCATTTTTCATTTACATATATACCTAAATATATGAGACATATACTCATATTATTGTGCCTACTACATATACAGAACATTAAATTCTACTATAAATCCTCCACTTAAACTTCTCCTTGATAGTTACAGCAGAATGCACAGTCACAATACAAGGCATAAGGCACTCTGACATCCCTCGTGTCAGTCTCACACTATGCAAAAACGCTATGCACGTAAAGGGCCCGAAGATCTGGAACTCACTACCGAAACCAGTAAAGGATCCCCTGACTATTTATAAATTTAAGATTTTGCTAAAAAATCATCTTATTTATTTATTTATTTATTTATTTATTTATTTATTTATTTATTTATTTATTTATGTATTTATTTATTTATTTATTTTATGTCTTTGCAAAAAATACATTGAGATTTTATATTTACAATAGTGGGTTGTAATACAAAGAGAGCCTCTATTATGCCTAGGCATTATGGTCCAACTTAACATTATTGACTTACAGTCTACTTAACACTTAGGATTATATCATAGTTGTACAGTAGGACAGTAATTATTTCATAGTTGAACAGTAGATTATTAATTGTAAGTGAATTAAATTTGTATAAGACAAAGGATATATTCATATAGTCTAAAATGCTTTTTGTGAAAACAATGGTTCAATTATATTCCTGTCAACATATTCCTCTCAATAATAACCAAATCAACCAAAACAACTTCTAATCAGTTATTATGTGACCTCTAGTCTTTTAAACATCTGCCAACCCATGAAATATTACTGCCTGAACCATTAATTGTAATATTATTGTTATTATGTACAACTTGAAGATCATTATTCTTATAAACCTCCACCTTGACTACCTCACATTAGTATTAAGATTAAGTAAGATTGTAGTCAAGTTAACCACTTTTATCCTGTCTGGTTTTAAGTAGTTACTATGTACAGTGGAACCCCAAGTTTCGGCCATAATCCATTCCAGGAGCTAGGCCTAAACTCGAAACAGCCAAAAGGCAAAACAATATTTCCTCTAAGAAATAACGTAAATAAAATTAATCCATTCCAGACCCTCAAAAATATTCACAAAAAATAAATTTTTGAAGAATAACTATAGTTTTACATACACACAACACAGATTAATGCATGTACTAGTATACAATAGATCAATTAAAATTTAAATAAACATTTAAAGTAACATTTACTCACCTTTATTGAAGAGATTTGCTGGCATGTGGAAGACAGGGAGGAGGAGAGAGAGAGGACTTGCTGTTGTGTTCCTCACTTTCTTTACCACAGGGCCCATAGTGGCTTATTTTACCACAGGGCCCATAGTGGCTTATTTTACCACAGGGCCCATAGTGGCTTATTTTACCACAGGGCCCATAGTGGCTTATTTCACAGTCACAATTAATGAAGAAGCACTGCCAGTTCTTCTTAGGCTTCAAAGAACTACCAGCATCACTACTCTTGCACTGTGGGTCCATTCTTAAGCAAAATTAACGGTTATTTTCAGGCTGCAGTAAACCACGGAGACTGAATCTGCGGATATGGTGGTTCTACTGCATTGAGGATAACTTTGTTGGCAGTCATCCAGGTAGATTAAAAAGGCTCCTCATTGTTGTTGAGGATGACCAGATCTGGATTTGATGTAACAAAAGCAGTGTCATGTGCAGACAGTACTGGTTTAAGTTGCTAATAGGCAATAGGTGGTTCATTGATGTAGCTCATGAATACAAGAGAACCTAGTACACTGCCCTGTGGTATCCCCATGGTAATAGTCTGAGTTGAGAAAACAGTCGTATTAATGGTCACCTGATGGTATCTGTCAGTGAGGTTGGACTTCATGTGAGGATGTGACCTCTAATTCCATAATGGTGTAGTTTAAGCAGCAAGATTGTCAAAAAGTTTTCTTAGATTGACAAAGAGGATCATTGGATATTTATTATTTTATAGAACTAAATAGGTAGAGTCCAGCAACTTCATGATAGCATCATCGGTACTTACTTTCTTGGCCCCAAACCAAACTGGCCATTATGAAAAAATGTATTCTCTTATGTATCAACTTCTCAAATATTTTGGAAAATAATGGCAGGTTGGAAACTGGCCAATAGTTGATGATGTCTGGTTTTACAAACCTCCACCATGGTTGTGGATACTGGTGGTAGGAGTCTTAATGTGGTTAATAGAACCAAAACTCATTAAGATTGAGTAAATAGCATGTGCAGGTTGTCATGCAGCTTGGTGTCCATTGTTTGTCCTTGACGGTCGTCTCTCGACAGTTTCTTAATGATTGGTGGTGGTAGCCAGAGCAGCGACTCGTGTTGACACCTCAAGTAGCACTACACACAGTAAAGCAAAGGATCATACTGGGTGAAAAGTTGTTTTAAGCTTTATGAACTGATGATATAGAGATCAAAATCTAGACCCGCAGTGAGGGTTATATCCCACTTAGGTCTGAAAATCAGTTCTTTACAAGTATAATTTTACCTTCACCTTATAATTTATAATAGTATTTTTAGCGATCTTTAGTTTAGTAACATACTTTTAATTATATTACAGCTAACATTATATACATACTACAATATTTTTGAAAGTACAATTCTCTCATTATCATTCTTATGTTAATTTAACTTTTATCTTAAACATTTTTGTTCATTATTTCTTAACACTTTTTCCTAAACTTTTACATGGCTTGAAAGAGACCAAAAGTAAGTTAAAAAAAAAATTCTAAATTGAATTGTTTTAGTAAATTAAACTATATATTTATCAGTTTTCAGCCTAATTTCTCCCATTTGTTTTACAGGCTATTGTTAATGCTTCAGCCTTGCCTCTGTCTATCATCATTGTGGGGATTGGTGGAGCAGAGTTTGACAGCATGGACGAACTGGATGGAGATGTTGTCCGCCTCTCCAGTCACGGTCGGTATGCTGCTCGAGACATCGTACAGTTTGTGCCATTTCGGGACTTTCTGATGAGGAATGGGGATCCTCTCACAGCTGGGCTTCGACTGGCTAGGGAAGTGCTAGCAGAAATCCCTACTCAAGTTCTCTCTTACATGAAAGCTAATAACATCATTCCCCAGGCACCCAAGATCAACGATGCGCTCCTGCCAGCAGATCTCACTTGATCACCTCTCTCATACTCTCTCACAAAGCACAAGAATGTAGCTGACTTGCCTCTACCTAATTAACTCACATGAGTAAGGCAAGCTTCTCTCATGGACATAGATGTCTTTTGCAGATGATTTTTTTCAAATTCTAATTAACTATTTGTCCACTTTCTATTAAATGTGATAAATTTATACACATACAGTAAGCTAAGCTGTCTTATATAGCACTCTGCATAGGCAAATTTTTTACAGAATTGAATAGTGTATAAAAAGGCCATAGTGTACACTATTCAATTTTGCATCAACTGTATTTTTATATTGCAATTGCAAAACTACTTGTGCCATATAGAATAGCTCATAAGAGAGCAAACTGTAACTCACTTGAGTAAAGAAAGGTAAGGCAAAACTTATGTCATGGACGTGGACATTCTCACAGCCGATTTTATTGAAATTTTTATGGACTTTGTTAAATGTGATGTATGTATAAGTTCAGTAGAATGAGTTTTACAAGTGCTGCAGTTTTATGCCATTTTTTACTTTATTCTTTGTTTTCTTCATAACTGTGGGAACAACTTGTTATACAGTGGACCCCCGCATAACGATTACCTCCGAATGCGACCAATTATGTAAGTGTATTTATGTAAGTGCATTTGTACGTGTATGTTTGGGGGTCTGAAATGGACTAATCTACTTCACAATATTCCTTATGGGAAAAAATTCGGTCAGTACTGGCACCTGAACATACTTCTGGAGTGAAAAAATATCGTTAACCGGGGGTCCACTGTACTTCTATGTTACCAGTGAATATGTTGAGTGTAAAAACTTCCTCAGATTCTTGACTTACAAATGCTCAGGTTACAATATTCTTGACTTAGGAATGCCCATATTATAATATTCTTGACTTACAATGTCCAGGTTACAATGATCTGTACTTACAAATGAGATTTAAAAAACTTAATACATACAGAATTCTTTTATAAATGATGATGTGTTATTCAAGGCACGTCTGGCACAATTATTCTTTGTACTCTCCTAATTAATGAGTAACAGGTTGAGTATTAGAAGCGACTCATTGGTAAGTCGACTCACTTAGATTAACTCTCGTTCGCAAGTCACTAGCCTTATATAACTTGTCTGGATGTGCACCTTTCTTGATACTTGTTCAATACAGATTCTTTAAGGGAAATTTTAAATGTTGCATCCATGGGTGTTCATTTACATCCATGGGTGTTCATTTACATCCATGGGTGTTCATTTACATCCATGGGTGTTCATTTACATCCATGGGTGTTCATTTACACCCATGGGTGTTCATTTACATCCATGGGTGTTCACTTACATCCATGGGTGTTCATTTACATCCATGGGTGTTCATTTACATCCATGGGTGTTCACTTACATCCATGGGTGTTCATTTACATCCATGGGTGTTCACTTACATCCATGGGTGTTCACTTACATCCATGGGTGTTCACTTACATCCATGGGTGTTCACTTACATCCATGGGTGTTCATTTACATCCATGGGTGTTCACTTACATCCATGGGTGTTCACTTACATCCATGGGTGTTCACTTACATCCATGGGTGTTCACTTACATCCATGGGTGTTCATTTACATCCATGGGTGTTCACTTACATCCATGGGTGTTCATTTACATCCATGGGTGTTCATTTACATCCATGGGTGTTCATTTACATCCATGGGTGTTCATTTACATCCATGGGTGTTCACTTACATCCATGGGTGTTCACTTACATCCATGGGTGTTCACTTACATCTATAGTGTTCAATTTACAGTCACCTCTGTTCAAAGGATCCTCTGTACAGTGAACTTCATAAATGCCATTGAAAAAAAATCCAGAATTGAATGGTACATGACACTCAATTTTCAAGTCATTTATGGAGTCACATATATTAATGCAGTATATATAGAAGAGGTTTATAAGAGAGCCGACTTTATTAGCGCCACAGCCAGGCATAATAAATCTACTATTATTATTGAAGTTATAAGTCATTACTTTCATTAAGAAATTATTGTATTGTAAATTATTGTAGTGTCTGTATTTTTTGAGCTGATGGATTTCTGAATATTTACTGTATAGCATATACAGTCAACTCTGTTATAACGCTCCTTTATGTGGAGTGATTGTTTTTATGCACATGTGATTGGAAGAGTACAGTGGAACCTCGAGTTTCGATCAGCTCCCAACTCGAACAATTATGTAAGTGTATTTTTGTAAGTGCTTTTTGTAAGTGTATTTTTCGGGGTCTGAAATGGACTAATCTAATTTACATTATTCCTTATGGGAACAAATTCGTTAGGTATCGACACTCGAACAGCCTTCTGAAACAAATTAAGTTTGTAACTTGAGGTACCACTGTACATCCAAAATTGAAAATCCCATGGAAGGTGCATCACAGTATACCAGGGTACATGTATGTTTGAACCCCTGGTGAGTCAGTCGTAAAACTCACCGTGGGTTCTGCTCCCACCCGTTCCCTGGTTTGTTTACAATCATGTTATTAAGATTACCAGAGTCAGACTTTACAGTACTTGTTATTCAACTTTTGATCCGCTTTTCAATTGCAGTCACATAATATTGTCTGTATACAAGAGCGTTGTGACAGAACTTTCTGTATTAAAAAAAAATTTGTGGGTCAAACTGTTTACTTTTGATCTTCAGTAACGGACTTAAGATGAAAATTTTTTATGTGTTTTGAGTTAATTTTTAATATGAATATGTCAGGTGTCTTCTGTACTCTTTGTTTCATTTAATGTTGAGATAATTGTTGAAGCTGACTAAGAATATTTAACAGATGTGTTGGGGAGAGGATGACCATCCAGCAGGCATGTTGGTGCATCCAGCAGGCATGTTGGTGCATCCAGCAGGCATGTTGGTGCATCCAGCAGGCATGTTGGTGCATCCAGCAGGCATGTTGGTGCATCCAGCAGGCATGTTGGTGCATCCAGCAGGCATGTTGGTGCATCCAGCAGGCATGTTGGTGCATCCAGCAGGCATGTTGGTGCATCCAGCAGGCATGTTGGTGCATCCAGCAGGCATGTTGGTGCATCCAGCAGGCATGTTGGTGCATTCAGCAGGTATGTTGGGGCATCCAGCAGGCATGTTGGTGCATCCAGCAGGCATGTTGGTGCATCCAGCAGGCATGTTGATGCATCCAGCAGGCATGTTGGTGCATCCAGCAGGCATGTTGATGCATCCAGCAGGCATGTTGGTGCATCCAGCAGGCATGTTGGTGCATCCAGCAGGTATGTTGGTGCATCCAGCAGGCATGTTGGTGCATCCAGCAGGCATGTTGGTGCATCCAGCAGGCATGTTGGTGCATCCAGCAGGCATGTTGGTGCATCCAGCAGGCATGTTGGTGCATCCAGCAGGCATGTTGGTGCATCCAGCAGGCATGTTGGTGCATCCAGCAAGCATGTTGGTGCATCCAGCAGGCATGTTGGTGCATCCAGCAGGCATGTTGGTGCATCAACCAGGTATGTTGGTGCATCCAGCAGGCATGTTGGTGCATCAAGCAGGTATGTTGGTGCATCCAGCAGGCATGTTGGTGCATCAAGCAGGTATGTTGGGGCATCCAGCAGGCATGTTGGTTCATCCAGCAGGCATGTTGGTGCATCCAGCAGGCATGTTGGTGCATCAAGCAGGTATTTTGGTGCATCAAGCAGGCATGTTGGTGCATCAAGCAGGTATGTTGGTGCATCCAGCAGGCATGTTGGTGCATCAAGCAGGTATGTTGGTGCATCCAGCAGGCATGTTGGTGCATCAAGCAGATATGTTGCTGCATCCAGCAGGCATGTTGGTGCATCCAGCAGGTATGTTAGTGCATCCAGCAGGCATGTTGGTGCATCAAGGAGGTATGTTGGTGCATTCAGCAGGCATGTTGGTGCATCAAGCAGGTATGTTGGGACATCCAGCAGGCATGTTGGTTCATCCAGCAGGCATGTTGGTGCATCCAGCAGGCATGTTGGTGCATCCAGCAGGTATGTTGGTGCATCCAGCAGGCATGTTGGTGCATCAAGTAGGTTTGTTGGTGCATCCAGCAGGCATGTTGGTGCATCCAGCAGGTATGTTGGGGCATCCAGCAGGCATGTTGGTGCATCCAGCAGGCATGTTGGTGCATCCAGCAGGCATGTTTGTGCATCCAGCAATCATGTTGTTGCATACAGCAGTCATATTGGTGCATCCAGCAGTCATGTTGGTGCATACAGCAGGTATGTTGGTGCATCCAGCAGTCATGTTGGTGCATCAAGCAGGCATGTTGGTGCATCCACCAGGCATGTTGGTGCATCCAGCAGTCATGTTTGTGGATCAAGCAGGTATGTTGGTGCATCCAGCAGTCATGTTGGTGCATCAAGCAAGTATATTGGTGCATCCAGCAGTCATGTTGGTGCATCCAGCAGTCATGTTGGTGCATCCAGCAGGTATGGTGGTGCATCTAGCAGGCATGTTGGTGCATCCAGCAGTCATGTTGATGCATCCAGCAGGCATATTGATGCATCCAACAATCATGTTGGTGCATAAAGCAGGTATGTTGGTGCATCCGACAGGTATGTTGGTGCATCCAGCAGTCATGTTGGTGCATCCAGGAATCATGTTGCATCCATCAGGCATGTTGGTGCATCCAGCAGGCATGTTGGTGCATCCAGCAGTCATGTTGGTGCATCCAGCAGGTATGTTGGTGCATCCAGAAATCATGTTGGTGCATCCAGCAGTCATGTTGGTACATCCAGCACTCATGTTGGTGCATCCAGCAGTTATGTTGGTGCATCCAGCAGTCATGTTTGGTGCATCCAGCAGGTAGGTTGGTGCATCCAGAAGTCATGCTGGTGCATCCAGTAGTTATGTTAGTGCATCCAGCAGGTATGTTGGTGCATCCAGCAGGTATGTTGGTGCATCCAGCAGTCATGTTGTTGCATCAAGCAGTCATGTTGGTGCATCCAGCAGTCATGTTGGTGCATCAAGCAGTCATATTGGTGCATCAAGCAGGTATGTTGGTGCATCCAGCAGTCATGTTTGTGCATCCAGCAGGTATGTTGGTGCATCCAGCAGTCATGTTTGTGCATCCAGCAGGTATGTTGGTGCATCAAGCAGTCATGTTGGTGCATCAAGCCGGTATGTTGGTGCATCCAGCAGTCATGTTGGTGCATCAAGCAGGTATGTTGGTGCATCCAGCAGTCATGTTAGTGCATCCAGCAGTTATGTTGGTGCATCCAGCAGTCATGTTTTTGCATCAAGCAGTCATGTTGGTGCATCAAGCAGGCATCTTGGTGCATCAAGCAGTCATGTTGGTGCATCAAGCCGGTATGTTGGTGCATCCAGCAGTCATGTTGGTGCATCAAGCGGGGATGTTGGTGCATCCAGCAATCATGTTGGTGCATCCAGCAATCATGTTGGTGCATCCAGCAATCATGTTGGTGCATCCAGCAGTCATGTTGGTGCATCAAGCAAGTATGTTGGTGCATCCAGCAGTCATGTTGACTGTCATGTATAGACATGACAGCTGTGATGTACAGACATGATGGCTGTGATGTACAGACATGACAGCTGTGATGTACAGACATGACAACTGTGATGTACAGACATGACAGCTGTGATGTACAGACATGACAACTGTGATGTACAGACATGACAGCTGTGATGTACAGACATGACAGCTGTGATGTACAGACATGACAGCTGTGATGTACAGACATGACAGCTGTGATGTACAGACATGACAGCTGTGATGTACAGACATGACAGCTGTGATGTACAGACATGACAGTTGTGATGTACAGACATGACAGCTGTGATGTACAGACATGACAGCTGTGATGTACAGACATGACAGCTGTGATGTACAGACATGGCAGCTGTGATGTACAGACATGACAGCTGTGATGTACAGACATGACAGCTGTGATGTACAGACATGACAGCTGTGATGTACAGACATGACAGCTGTGATGCTGTTCAGTTTAGAAGATGGTTACAATAACAACAAGTGCAAATTAATTTGATTACAGTAAACTCTGATATAAATCTCCTCTATATAGTATAACTTATGCAAATACTTTTGGAAGCTGCTTTCAAAATTTAATATGACACACTATGAAGGCCTTTCAGTGCACTGTTCCATTTTAGATGGTCTTTTTCAGCTGCATTCATGATAAGTTGTACTCCATAAAGGAGATTTATTTGTGTTGTGTTAAGAACATGACACTGTATGGAGGGATTTAGTGAAACAAGTGAGCTCAGAGTGCCTGCACTCTGAGTGCAGGCACTCTGAGTGAGGGATAGTGAGGTGGATAACTTGAGTATGTCATGTCTGTGTACTCAGAGTGTCACTCTGTGTACCTGTGTATCACTGAGAGTGTCATTCTGTGTACCTGTGTATCACTGAGAGTGTCATTCTGTGTACCTGTGTATCACTGAGAGTGTCATTCTGTGTACCTGTGTATCACTGAGAGAGTCATTCTGTGTACCTGTGTATCACTGAGAGAGTCATTCTGTGTACCTGTGTATCACTGAGAGAGTCATTCTGTGTACCTGTGTATCACTGAGAGAGTCATTCTGTGTACCTGTGTATCACTGAGAGAGTCATTCTGTGTACCTGTGTATCACTGAGAGTGTCATGTCTCTGTACCTGTGTATCACTGAGAGAGTCATTCTGTGTACCTGTGTATCACTGAGAGTGTCATTCTGTGTACCTGTGTATCACTGAGAGTGTCATGTCTCTGTACCTGTGTATCACTGAGAGTGTCATTCTGTGTACCTGTGTATCACTGAGAGTGTCATTCTGTGTACCTGTGTATCACTGAGAGTGTCATGTCTCTGTACCTGTGTATCACTGAGAGTGTCATTCTGTGTACCTGTGTATCACTGAGAGTGTCATTCTGTGTACCTGTGTATCACTGAGAGAGTCATTCTGTGTACCTGTGTATCACTGAGAGTGTCATTCTGTGTATCAGCTATGGTGTTAGTGATAGTGAATATGTCCTTGTTGTCCTGCCTTTATGGGAAGTTATCAGAGGGTTGATGCTGCATTACAAATACCACTAAAGTTATGGTTTCATTATCCTTCCAGTAAAATAATGACTTTCAGTGTAACTAAATACCTGGAGTATACCTGGAGGGGGTTTCTGCAGGTCAGTGCCCCTGTGGCCCAGTCCATGGCCTAAACTTATTACTAGGCATGCTAAAGGCCTTCTTGTAATTAATATTTTATAATATGTAAACCACACATTGTAAGCTTTGCAAGGAAACAAGCTGGCCATCTCATGGTAATGCTTGATGTGGCCTGGTGGCTAAAGCTTTTGCTCTGCATGGCGAGGATCCGGGTTCGATTCCCGGTGATGGCAGAAACATTGGGCGTGTTTCTTTACACCAATTATCTATGTCCACCCATCAGTAGAATGGGTACCTG